GCTACAGCTACAGCTACAGCTACTCCTACTCCTACTTCTACTTCTACTGCTACTGCTACTGCTACTGTCACTGCTACCACCACCACCACCACGACCACCACCACCACCACCACGCTACGACGACGACGACCACCACCACCACCGTCTGTCACAAGTAAAACTGGTCTTGGTGGCTGAAGAGGCATTTTCATTTCACCGACAATGGTCAAGACTCCAAAAATACTCTAGACCCGTGCATCCTAAACGCCTTGAGATCCCAAACCCCGCGCGACAAGAAAGCCTACAGTACCTACACGACTTCTAGGCTTGCAAGGGCTCAGGGTCGGGGTTGCTGTGCTCTGGGCCTTGGCTTGGGCGCGTTTCGTACCAGCTCCTGCAGCAGGCATTCAAGCATGAAGTGGATCACAAGCGAAATTTGACTCGTGTGCATTGCAGCTTGCAAAAAACGTACTTCAAAAACTTCGACATGAACTGGGGGATAGGCTCCGATCGGAGCCTCTTCGTCCGAAGAGACTTCCGCCCCCATCCATGCCACCGAGACCGAGGGGATCATCGCTGAACCTAGGCAGCCCCACTACCCTTCCCGCTCTATCCATAGTTTGGACAAGCCCCGCGTTTGGCACCGAGACCCCCACATCTCACACCGGATGGGTCCGGCCAAACAAGAGCCAGAGGTACCCAAAATCACCAAACTTCTTCGCAGGAGCTGGCGACACTGCGCCGTACGGCGCATCGGGCGCTTGAACCACGCAGCTGCCACAGCTAGATCCGACAGGACACCCTCTTTGCAAACCATGTCGCATCTAAATCGCCCTGGACACCTTTTCTGCGATCTTCCCTTGCTGTGGGCTCCAATCAAGAGCTACCTTTACATGTTCCTTATGCACTGAAGCAGGCATCGACGAAAGTTGTGGAACATTTGCTCGCCAAGCGAGTGTCAAAACCAAACTCCACAGGGCTTATAGGTTCAGTGGGCCCACCCAACTTACCGCACAGTTTGGATGCAGGCTGTTGGGTTTGGACTTAATTTCAAGGCCTTCGGTTCGTGTGATTAGTCTTGGCTTCAAGGCTTGGGCTTGATTGTCGGAAAGGGCGGGTGCGCTATGTGCTTACCTAGGTGCAGCTTGTTGAATTCGCGACATGGAACCTGTGCCGGATATCCCACGTAGCTGAATTGCGATGGTGTCGCCCCCTTACAATTTACCAACAGGCTTGATGAGCCTCGGTGCAGGTGCCAGTGATCGTCCGGGTGAGCTTCATGCCCTTGATGCCGGACTCCGACACGTGGGATTCCCTCAGATCAGCGCACTGTTGCCACGTACGAGCCACTCAAAGCTCAACCTTCCGTGACGAATCAACAATGGCACGCCATTTTGCGACCGCATGAGCAAGGTGAGCAGCAGCATCTCGCTGCATTGCTTCGCGCCTGGCTTCGTCACCGCGCTTTAGCAGGGAGCCCCTCATCTCGGTGCGAAAACGCTGCAGGCCCGGCTAGGGCTTGATGCCTGCTGCACCTCAGAGCCCACTCCAATCGCGGCAAACAGAACAACTGAGGAAAAGCCTATGACAATGATGACAATCTCTGAGTGCTTAACATGTGCCGTCGACGCATGCGGACTTCACATGGACCTGTGGCACAGGACGCAGTGCTTGTGGCCAGAAGTTTTCTTTTTGATCTTTTCCTAAACTATCTCTTACAAGTAACATTGCATTTGATTCGCCAACGCCTTGGCGTAGGTCACAGAGGAAGCATCCCCTGCTTCCGCTTCCGCCGCACATTTGGATCCCAACTGGCACCAGCCGTTGCTGTACAACGTGGCGAAGGCACAGTTGTGGGCAGCGGTGCATCTCATGACGCACTCTTCAGGTTCGAAGAGTCCCTCCACGATGAAGGGCACTTTGCCACCATTGGCGCAAAACTTCCCAGACGAGTAGGCTCTGTACTCCTCGGAAATGCAGCACGAAGCTACCTCCCAGAGAACCCAATAATTAAAGAATCTACCTCAAATCATAATATCAGCGCCCCTATGATTTAAGGTATTCCTTAATTAAAGGGTATTGGGTTCTCTGGGCTTATCCGCGTTTCCACAGACACAGCTCTTGGGCGTCTGCAGACACTAAGCCGTCGGCGACGTTCGCCTCGTCTGCAAATAACCAGGATGCACCCCAGCCCATCTCAAGTGGTAGGCCGATCGTGCCGCCTCGTGCGCTTGGCAACGTCTTTGGGTGGGAAGTGGCAAGATGATTACTTCTGTCATCGTCTGCAGCGTTACTAGTCTGCGTCTTGCGTGCTCCTACTTGCACTTGCCCGCTGTTTTGGCCCCTCGTCTGCGAAAGCATCCGTCCTCCAGCAGTCCGGCTGCTCCTGTGCTTCATTCTCTTCGAAGGGTGCACATTCCTGAGTGCTGCAACGTCGGAACGCATGCCTGAAGTGACAGAACCACCACCTCTAGAAGGATCCGTCGAAGCAGAAGTTGCAGTAGAAGCAATACTAGTAGTAGTAGTAGTAGTAGTAGTAGTAGTAGTAGTCGTAGTAGTAGTAGTAGTAGTCGTCGTAGTAGTAGTAGTAGTAGTGGTAGTCGTAGTAGTAGTAGTCGTCGTAGTAGTAGTAGCAGCAGCAGCAGCAGCAAGAGAAGTAGTGGTAGTAGTAGCAGTAGTAATCGTCGTCGTCAGTTGGTCGTAGACGTCGTAGTCGCAGTCGGAGCCGTGGTCGTACTCCTCGTCCTATTCCTAGTCCTAGTCCTAGTCCTAGTCCTAGTCCTAGTCCTAGTCCTAGTCCTAGTCCTAGCAGTAGTGTAAAAGTAGTGGTGGTGAAGAGTAGTAGTAGTAGTAGTAGTAGTAGTAGTAGTAATAATAGTAGTAGTAGTCGTCGTCGTCGTCGTAGTAGTAGTAGCCGTAGTCGTCGTAGTAGTAGTAGTAGTAGTAGTAGTCGTAGTCGTAGTCGTAGTCGTAGTCGTAAAAGTAGTCGTAGTCGTAGTCGTAGTCGTAGTCGTAGTTGTAGTCGTAGTCGTAGTCGTAGACGTAGTCGTAGTCGTAGTCGTAGTAGTAGTAGTAGTAGTAGTAGTAGTTGTAGTAGTAGTAGTAGTCGCAGTACTAGTAGACAGTAGTACTACTGTCGTGTACAGTAGCAGTAGCAGTAGC